CACCAAACACACACACCACACACACACACACAACACAACACACCACACACACACACACACACCACCACAACACAAACACACACCACACACAACACACAAATTATCCCGCCCGGACATCGTCCCGTTGCAGGACGCTCGAAAGAGCACTGATTTCTGTGTCTTGACGGAGTCAAAAAGAATTGTCATTGGATCGAAAGTTTTCGATGTGGGGGCTCTACGTAAATGACGACGGCGTCAGTGTACGATGTCCATGGAGTGAATGGTCAAAGGATCGTCTGTAAGAGGTATTCAGGTCGTGATTACTTATGAACGACAGACTTGAGCCTTCGCCACCCCTGCTGACTTCAAGCGAGACCACTCGTCGCTAAGCAACCGCGCGTCTCGCGGAGACCCTAATATCGGAGTCCAGTCAGACAGAGTGTCGTCCTTACACCCTTCAATTACGGAAGTGAATATAATTTGAAAGGGGTGGTAACTTCGACCATTGTCTGAGAGACTCAGGTACTGACACACGACGCCACTTCCGAGTCTTCGTCCTGTACGAAAAAAGGACCCACTCTAACCTCGGAAGATACTCGGTAGAATGGCGTTAAGTATTATTTAGTTAGTCGTTAGCTCAGTAGTTCCTGGTCAGGTGGTATCAGTTGTCTCGTCCTGCCTATTAATAACAAATTCAGTTCGAGTTCCTGGAGCACACAGCGACACAGCGACAGGGTGTGAATGATGTCGATGTGTGTTTATATTTAACTCAGTTATAGGCCTGAGGGCAAAACTACCTCAGCAATGTCTTCAATGGAGCTTGTGGCTGAATTTACATTAAAGGTCCCATGTCATGCTTTTCCGGTTATTACCCGTCCCCTTGTGTGCTATGAAGGTTTTTATGCTTGTAAACGGTCTGCAGAGTCAAAAACCCTCAAAGTACACCCTGTAGCGAGTAAAACTCTAGCACAGAAAATACCTGTGTATGCTGCCCCAGAACGCCTCGTTGGAGATTTCTCTTTTTCTTCCTGGGTACAGTGACGTGCCCATACCCAAATGGACCCATCGGTCCAAATGGACCAATCCTTGGAGCCGTCTGCGGATTGGTCCAAATGGACCAATCCGCAGACTTCCTCACACACACACACACTCAATCTTTCCTCAGCTGCAGCTCCGCTGTGAGTCGGTGTGTGAGCACACAAACAAACTCCCAGCCAGGCTGCGGGTGTGTTTGTGTTTGGGCTGGTTTCGGGCTGGGTTTCGTTGTGTCTCGCTGTCTCGCAGACGGCCACTGGGCTCATAGGGAGGGGGGGGGCAGGAGCTCCAACAAGCTGTTTAGGACAGAGAGTGAATACACATACTATACAGAGATGCTGTATGAGAAACCAATGTGAGTTTGGAAAATTGCACAATATAAATCTATTCTAGTCGAGCTCAACAATGGAATTATGATCAGTAGAAATGGCCATGACATGGGACCTTTAACTGGGCTGTTTTTACACAGTTTGAAGACAAAGTTCAACTAAGTTTGACTTTGACCCCCAACTATGCTGACTCCCAAGACATGTATCCAATGACATCCCTGTGTTGTGTCAAAGTTGGTTTCAACATTGATTTGTGGTTCCCCTAGCCCTATTTGTAAACCTGACCCTCCATATGTTATCCAAACAAAAACTTTATTGGGGAAATACAAATTGTCTTTTCTTGTACCTGTTGACTGGAAATGTTTTGCATCTTTTGATCTAACTAGAGAGTTGGAGTAAAAATAACATTTAAATCCTTTAATTTATAGATTTTGTGTAGTATATAAAAGAACAGTGTTGAGGTCCTCTTTAGAGTTAAAACTGACCGTTTCCTTATTTAATAAAAACTGGCAACCCGACTAGTGTATACTTTAGTATGAAGAAGTGTCTGATTCAAGGCAAGTTTGTGAGCTTGAGCTGAAGAAGTTCCTCAAATGAAGCAAGAAGCAGACTAGTACATCATGTACTAACACTGTGCTAAAGAGGGAAGGTACACATTTGGGCATGAATGCACAGTTTGCATATATGTAAAAGTAACTTCTTCCTGATACTGTTTTTCAGTTCCCTTTAGCACAAACCACCTGACGCTAAAAAGCCTCAAACGACTCCTAACTAATCTGATCTGCATCTTTTCATTTAGACCTTTATCTGGATTCAGTCAGAGAAACGTGGGTCCCTGTGCACTGTGCAGCTCCTGATGCGTGTGAGTGAGCTGTCAACATGCCTCTGCATCAATGTCACCTAGACAAAGACTCCTAACATTTACTGCGCCTGAAGTGAGTGGGCGTTGACATGTATTCCTCTTACTTTCAGAGATGAAAAAAAGATTGTCGTCGCCCACGATCTCTGTGTTCAGATCATGAATAAATCAGCCGCTGAGCGTGACACATTCCTCCAAACTCATCCACGGAAACTCATTGTGAGACCGCTGCAGCCCAGAGTCCCGCACTCAGACAACCTCAATGAGGAACCAAGTGATTTATGTTTAGTGAAGCGCTGTGGCTTCAGTGGGATGCTAATTAGCAGGATTTATGAGTGAGTATGTAAATACAATCTAACTGGACTCGCGTGCCTTTCTCTGAGACCCACACTTATTGTATTCGAGTAAAATGTCTGTAACAACAAGGTCACATATTTCATGATACTTTAACCCTGAACAGTCGCTGAACAAATAAGGACAATGATTAAGTGTCAGAGATAGTATCTGTGTTGTGAATGACTCATGCAGTCAGCTTTCTGGGAGGAGATGGAAATCAGCTGATGAATGAACTTCATTATCCTTCATGTTCATTCCAGATTTCCGATAAAATAAAAAACTGTTTAACTTACTTACCAAAATGTGAAGCTGCTTTAATCCTGGTTTTGTTTATAACAATGTTTTGAATGACAATGTGAAAGGAGTTGACGTTTTTATAGTGTTAAGATCATAGACTGTATATATAAATGGACGTAGAAATGGACGTTAAGATCATGAAAGAATAAAAAGGTGCAGGAATTATTTACGTTTTTTTGTAGGCCCCCCTGCGAGTTAGCTTTGCAAGGATTCCTTTGAACAAATCTTTTGGGATTTCTTTTTGGATTATAGCAGAAAATATACTTAAGTAGCATATTGAAAGCATTTTGTATTATTCTTTGAATCGTAAATGAAATATGCAGAAGTCAAAAGCTAACGTTAGTAAAAAAACAAACATAAACGTTGCATGATTCATGTAACCACTGCTAAGCTAAACGCAGGTTATCGTGACGTTTAGTTGTGAAATATAGCCACCTAGCAACCACCGTTTTTATGATACTGTGTTCATGGAAGCTTTGGACATTCACTACAGACCTCACGCATCTCATCTCAATAACCCATGAAAAAACGATCAAAACCAGGACAAGCGAACAGAAAGTGCCAAAATGCACTTTTTTACTCTCTTTCATTATTAAAAGTAATAGCTACAGGAATTAGCTAAAATTAGCTAATGTGTTAGCAACATTTGGCAAACATCTAAACACCCTTTTATGTTTTTATGATAACATAACTGTCAGTACAAGTTAATGCTAACATTAGCATGCTAACTCCTCCACATTCTCATCAGCAGCATGGTTATATCAAAGGCTTTTGATGCACTTTCTCAGGCTCTTATCCCCCACATACACGTCTCTTTGGTGTTGTTTGATGAAGAGCAAGTTTAATGAAACAAATGGCCAACTGTACTACATAGAGCTTTGCAATTCTCGACTTCATGCTGTTTGATAAAAGATAAATGCCTTTTGGCTTCCTCAGAAGTGTTTGCTTTTGAGGGATAAAAGCAATCTTACTCTCCAGGAAGTCGAGCTGGCAGGCGGGGGCGTTGAGGCTCATGAAGTTGAAGCCGCGGGTGGGCCGGCAGTGACCCCTCTTACCCGCTGCCTCCCCGGGGGTCAAACCCTGCAGCATGCTGCTCTTCCCGGCCCCGTCCAGACCCAGGACCAGGACCTGACGCTTCCCACGCTCCTCCTCCTCCTGCAGGTACAGCACACACCATCAGACACATTTAGACTGTTAATAAATACATCAATTATTCAGCACTGCATGACGAACGAGGAGAGGGAAGAAAGGCTAGTGGGCCTTGTGTTGCCCCAAACTGTGGGACATTGGATCTTAGAACAACCGACTCCATTGGAATTGTTTTTAAAGTAAATGAAAGACACTATCTTTTTAATTTGGGGTAATTTTAGTGGTATCACTGTTCATGTTTAATTGTTTTATGGTCATGTGATCTAACTCTTTCTGTTCTGTTCTGTTCAGTTTTTTATAACTTGTTTATATCTTGTTTACTCATTGTTATTTGTATGTATATTGTATTGCTCTGTAAAGTACTTTGAGCTGTATCTTGCATGGAAGGTGCTATATAAATACAGTTGTATTATTATTATTATAGACAGATAGAAAGATAGATAGATACTTTATTCATCCCAAATTGGTGCACTGCAGCAATGTGTTCAGGCAATTAACATTTGTAATTTAAAAGGTGGAGAAAAGTATAAGCATGATAACATTTAAATAAAAACAATAATCAGCAGCATATATATATATATATGCTACTGATTATTATTACGCCACAAATAATACATAATATGAAATGTTCTTGATAAATTAGAATGTTCTATAAATATACAGCAACAAAAATATAGACATATATTACAGTGGCAGAAACACATATACATCTATAAACTACAAATGATTTGTAGTTATAATGACTAGTGCAAGTGCTATGCTGACACCTACAGTGAGGATTGTCTGAAATCAACAGGTGGCTTTGTGGAATGCAACACATCCTGATTTATGTAACCTTTGCTTCTTGGAAATTGTTATAGAGCTTCTGTATTTCCTGACATTTTATAGATTGTAAAATATAATGTCCGATAATGAAACATTAATTATTCTGAAGTTGTCCAAGGATATACAATTATTAGAGCTATCTTTTTCTGACCATATCAAAAATGAAGTACGTCGTTTTTATGAATGATAGGCTCAAACAGTAAAAAAAAAAAAACTTAAGGGTGTGGAATTTTACATATAAATGAACTACTTTACATGAAATCCCTTGCCAAACCAGTTCACACAATGCTGCTTCGAAGCCTATCACCACCAGGGAAATATGTGATCGTATAAAAGCTTTTCACACCATCTGTTATCTTTTAACTTCATGATTTGCACTTCTGCAGACTGGATCATCATTATGTATGAAACTAAATGCATCAGACGTGTGGGAATTTGACACTTGGTGTGCAAAAGACACTTCAAAATGTTCAGTCATTTGAATTGGCGTTTGCAAACCTCAAGAGGTATAAGTGAAAGACATCTCAAAGCAGCAGCATGATAACCCTTCTATTGGAGTGTCCTTAGGTTGGATTTGAGAGGACTTACAGAGCAGAGTGTAATTGTCTTCGAGCTGACTGTATCTGCAGAAGCGGTTGATCTCAGTAAAGGTTGGCTGCTTTTTCAAAACCTCCCCGCTCTCTTTGCACCTGAGACTCCACAACCCCTCTGAAATCCTGCACACGTCATTCATCTCCTCTTCAGAAGTCACACAAGGTTAGACATTATTTATTATGTACGCTGCGGCTCTGTGGAGTTTAATTAGCAATTCATATCAGCCTTTTTCACGCCGGGATGCTGTTTTTAGTTTTCTCATTAAAACATCAGACTTAACTTTGTTGATGGATGAGGAGGGTAGATCCAAAGCATAACCTCAGAATAAGCTCTAATTCAATTCGACATAAATCTACTTATAAGCTACCCTGTAATTAAGTCAGAAGGAGGTTAGATGAAGGAATAAAGATAGTTTTGGTAATGAATTGTGTTGCTGGGTTAAAATAGCCTCAGATCAACATGGTGGATCTGTAGCTTGCGTGCAGCTTCAACCCTTTTGCTGTCAGCATGGACTTTTTGCAAACTTATCTAATTTTGCATATATGCTTTCTGATTTATTTTTCAAATTTCCTTTATCTCCTGCTCCCTTCATCAGTTCAAATACTTCACAGACTTTTTATTTTATATTTCAACCTTAGTTCTGCCAATTTCTCCACATTTTTTCAGGAAAAAGAACAGCTGCAGATCTACACTGCTTAGTTTCTGACAGGGATTTAACGTCTTGCCCAAGGACACTACAGCAGAGCAGACTCTCGGCAACACATGGGCTTTATCACCCAGCAGCGATAAAGTCAGCTGGCCTGTAGCGCTCAATAGACTTCATAGAAATGCATTTCAAAGAGGATAGACGTGATGGAAGCTTTTATCCTTTAATACACATATCATCAGTCCTTCATGTTCAACTTTCGAGGAGTTATTCTGTGTTCTTTTTTTCTTGATTAGTGAATTAATACATTACCCTGCATGCCTTTAAACCTCTAAGTAACAAGCATGAAATAAATACATCTATTTGCTTAGATGAGCATAAAGACATGAGGCAGGGGCAAATAACTAGACAAGTATTACGGTACGGTATTGAACATAACCGTTATATTTAAAGATGTTATGTTGATATCATGTTAATAATATAGAAATGATATTATCTTGTAAATATGGTAATGCCCCTAACATAATTTTCTTTCTTTCCATTTACAATTTGTCGCTAATTCTCCAAAAATTTACATTTCACAGCTGTGGGACGAACATAGGATTTTGTATAGTATTCTGAAAGAAGCTTTTCTCTCCTCTCCTGAATGTTAATGTTTAATTTCATAGACTGTTTTAGTATTTCATGATCTTAGTGTGTGGGAGGTGGTTCTTTGTGTCCTCACTGCCGTAGACCCTGGCGATGACAATGGCTATGTAAAGAGGTAATCCATACATACAATACATTAAAGAAAAAGCAAAAAGAAGAGCTAAAATTATGCAAGGTTATACATTTAAGCTGTGCTCTAGTGGCCCCTTCTCGACAATGATGCCAAATCATCCACAATGGAGCATGAGTCTGCAGAAATAACCAGTCTGAATGGACTGAGACATTAAAGGCCTGTGGCTGGTGGTACAGTTATTCGGCAGCTTAATCTGTTTCCACTCTCTCAGAGATTGTTTGTCGCTGTGTAAATGAGCATGTGTCGCCCTCCCACCTGCTGAGACTCCCCAAGGTCACAAACACGCCGTTAGTCAACTCCCCTGCTTTCTGAGGCCGAAGACGTGATTACAATGCATCATGGTACAATTTGGCTCCCAAAGGAATGAAAACATTTACGCCCCCTCTTTGCAGCGAGCTGCTGGCAGACACTGACAACATTATCCTCTGAAGACAGAGTGAGCTGAGCTTATTACAGGCTGCTGCCGCTGCCACTGATTGAATCATGGGAAACAAGATTAGACGCATGCAAATAGATTTTATTAAGATTTCCAGGCTGCTGTTGAATTGCTCCATTGAAGAGTCATTTATTAAGACCCTCAGTCCCACCGGCTGTTTCGTTTCTGTCGGCAGGAAACACACTACAGTTACATTGGCATCAACTACATGATGTGGAACTGACGTACACATCCGGGCATTTCAAACACAGTGCATGATAATATGGCCTCAGCTTATCTACACAATGTGATCTGTTGGATATGGGGAGGAAATAAAAATCCCGCATTTTAGGGATGTAATAAAATATAGATACAGAATCGTATCACTCTATTCGTTTTTATGAAACTTTATTGATTCTAATTTAATTCATAGCTTACAGGCAAAGATAAGTGTAGCACTATGATGATGGATGTTGAATGCAAAAGCAGATCCCACTGTTGTGATTACATAACAAAGTCACTTTTTTGTACTCTGATTACATGCATATGGAGGTGTTTTGTTTTATATCTAAAATGTGATTTTGAATATACACTTTATCTGTGAATATTGCTTAATGTATCACAATATATTGAATTATAACCGCTGTATACTTATATGAATCATATTGCCAGATTCTTGCCAGTGGCAGCCCTAGCCTTGGGCTACATCTTCATCATCTTCATATTCCCCTCATCATCTTCATCTTCATCGTCATCACTATGGCACTACCTCATCTTTTAATGAACTTCATTTTCATCTTTACACTCACCTATGTTATCGCCATCTTCCTCGGCTTCTACTGCTTCTCATTTACATCCACCTCTTCATCATCATCATCATCTTTACACCTTCCTCTTTTAAATTAGTTTCACCACCAAGATGAATTCTGTTCAAAATCACCTCATCATCATTACCACTACACTAATTTATTAATGAACATCATCTTCTCGACTAACCTCACAATTGTAATATGTTTGACTTAATATTGACTCTCATAATCAAATCCACCATCATCATCTTCATCACACCTTTCACAAGTCAGTAATACATGAGCAGCATCATTTTTCTCTTCATCATCATCATTCTCACCTTTCCCCTTTAATAGTTTTTTGTATTGTTTTTATTTTTTTAAATATTGTCCCCCTCAACATCTTCCTCATCACCACTACTGCCATGTATTCACTAAACATCTCCCCCCTCATCATCCTCACCACCATCTCTATTATCTCCATAATAATTCAGCAGTGTTTTCTTAAGTCAGTGTAAAACTACCTTCCCCTCAAAGTAAAATGAACACTTAAACTGCATAACAAATGAAAAAAATAGTATTATTCCTCTGTGTCATATGTTTGACTTTTGTTACAGTTATACATGAGCAGCGTCATCATACTCTTTTTTTGTTCTACCTATTGTCCCCCTTATAATCATCTTCATCATCACCACCACTGCCATGTTCACTAAGCATAATTTCCCCCTCATCTTCTTCACCATCACCATCTCAATTATATCCATACGAATTCTGCAATGTTATCTTTAGTCAGTATGTGAGAACATATTTTTCACTAACCTCATTAAATGTTTTTAACTAGTGCATCATCACCATCAACTCTATCATCATCATCAAGTCCATCTTCATCACACCATTCACAAGTCAGTTATTATATGAGCAGCATCACCTTTCTTTTCGTCTCAAAATCATCTTCATCCTCACCACTCTTTTTCCTATAGTGCAAATACATCGATACCAGTCTTACCAGCATTAATTTACTTTAATTGGAAATGCATCATCATTCTCATCTAATTTATAACCAGAATTCTGAAGCTTTGTCTTTAGTCAGATGTTATATCAGTATTAAATAGTTAAATAGTTGAATGAACACCCAAACAGCATACACAATGAATATTATCACACCTCTTTGATGGTGCAGTACTCCGCCTGTGGTGACCATATTCGCCTCTTGTAGAAGAAGTTCAGGGCGATGAACAGAGCAGATCCCAGAGCAGCCACGGCGGCGGTCAGGGCGATGGAGATGTGCCGGAGGAGAACCATATGTGGAGCGGACCGACCGCAGATCGGACCCGGGGAAAGGCTTCCTTCACACGGACAGTGCTGAGCCTGACTGTCGCTTTCTGCTCCTTCCTATTCTTCCTCTTCCTCTTCTCTCTCTGTCGCTGCTCTCTCTACATGTGACCAAAGCTCGCTCTACTTGTTTTGGTTCGAGACGCGCAAGAAAATGGAAAGGAATGCTGCGTTCAAGTGCAGCTTGTAAACTACGCCTACTTTTGACCCTGCGGCTTTTGCAATTTGAATGACACAGTAATTAATTACCAGTGGTGGATGAAGTAGCTAATCCAATTCTTTATTTAAGTAAAAGTACAAACACTAGGGTCTTTAAAAAGTTAATTAGAAGTTAAAGTCCTGAATTAAAAATGTTACAGTACAGAAGCACAGAAGTACAGAAGTACAGAAGCATTAGCAGCTAAATGTACTTCAAGTAGGCAATCAAAAGTAAAAGTTGTCAGAATGCATATTGGCTGTTTTTACAATATTAGCATCCTGTTTTTATAACTAACAAATACATTTAGGAGCATTTACATGTTGTAGTTTGTCAATGTGCAGCCAATTACTATTACAGTAGCCAACTACATCGTATCTATGCGTTTTTATATCTACAAAGTAACTCGAAACTGTGAGTGTTACATTAATGGAGTTTAGTAAAAAGTACTAAATGTCCCTTCAAAATGCAGTGGAGTAGAAGTTTAGAATCAGGGCCGTCCCTCCCTACAGGAAGATCACGCAGACTGCGTGGGGCCTCACCTCGCGGAGGGGGCCTCATCTTGCGGAGGTATCCTCAACTATATGGAATGCCATTTAAGCCAAAATAAATAAATAAATAATTAAATAAATAAATATATATATATATATATATATATATATATATATA